ACCAAATCTTTTCCGCTGCAGCCCCAAAGATGTGCAATTAGGCCAAAACTCTTTAAACTCCACATCAAAGGCCTTTCCGATTGCAATGCTAACGGGCTGCTTGGTCTATGCTGGGCGACCTAAAGATATGGTCACGCAGTCTACTGGCGACGAAAAGTAGACATTTACGTAGTGAGATGTTTGCGTGCTTTAGCGATCCTATTTAGCCATGCCTGGGTGGTGCCACTTGCGATTCCAAAGCCACTACGTACCAGATAGGTCAATCGTTAGAGGCCAGACAAACTACCAGACCTGCAGGTTTGTGGTTGGAGTTGAAGGTGACTTCTTTTTTCTCAATGGACTGCGCGCAACCAAGCGACAAAATCCCGCTGGATTTGAACCAAAGGATTGATTGAGAATCACAATCCATCCCCTGCGTATGCCTGGACCAACCTGATAGTAGTTCACCAGTAACTCTTTGATGCTCTAGTCGTCGAAAAGGATAATGAACATTACCCTATTTGCTGCGTCGAGCGGGTTAGATAAGAGTGGGGATGATACAGCACACATCACGCCTTCTTATTCACGCATACGGTTTTTCGTCCTCATCGTCCAGTTTCAAGCTTACTTTTATCCCGTTTTCAACCTCGCAACTTTTGGCCTCCACCTTGTTTTTATAGGTGTTTGTCTTCTAGTCCCACACAATCACGGAGCGTCATTTCTGCCTTGTCGACAAGCCCATGTCCAACCAAGCAGACAATCACAATTCTTTCATTTTTAGTTTAAATCCACGATCTTCGCTAAGACGAACAAGTATCAAAATGGGCACTTGGTAACTAGGCAGCCAACAAGTAACAATTGCCCGAAAGCTGGAATTTATCGATCAATATCCGCTGCTTCTTGGAAACCCGCCTGCAAATACCTCAGCTACTGTGCCGCAATACACGAAAAAGGAGAAAAAATGCAACTGGTGCAAGCCGGCTGAGCTACCGGTAACGGATGGGCATCGTTCCGGTAAGCTACCAGCCGACTAATGTGCATCAAAAAAATTACTATGCAAAATTATATAAGGCTAAATAATGAGATCGTGGTTGGAGGGGGAGGCTAAGAGGGATGGGGTGGGACAAAGAAACTCACAGCATGAACACCATTAAGGTCGGCTCCTAGCCATATCAGCAAGTGTGTCCAACCAAACGTGTTCATCGTCTTTCGGACCCCAACCAGGGAGCCGAGACGTCCCAACCGAGGCCAGCTCAGAAGTGAGGGCCTTCAATTCTCTGGACCAAGTCATCGCTTGGCCACCTCTCCTTCCATCCACACCCCCGGCCCGCCAAAAACGCACGTCGCAGGAGTCGGCGGGCTGGCATGCGTAACACGTGGCCGAGCCATCGGAGCATGGTGCGTGAAATAACGGTGCTGAGCGGTTCAGTTCCTTTCCCTGTGTCATAAACAAGGCGTCGAACACGCTCGATGCTCACGCGGTGTTCCCACCAGATGTGAGCTAAATTACGAAGGCACCGGTGGTCGAACGTAACTAGCCTCTTCAGGTCCGCTGCATTAAGGGGTCAGTTTTCACAGCCGTATAATAGAGTCAAACGTACCGCTGCATTTTACACTCTGTCCTTCAGGGTGAGAGTGGTGTAGCACCGGCGCCATAAGTGGCGAAGGTTAGCAAAAGCGCCTCGAGCTTTTGCTATGCGGTTCGTGATTTCATCTTCAATCGCACGGGCGCTGATACAACTTCCCAGGTAGTTGAATTTTTGAACGACTTCTAGCTGATCCACACCAACGATCAGCGAAGGAGGCGATCCAGACCAATCTTGGAGGAACGCTTTGCACTTCGAGGGTGCGAAGCAAAGCCCGAAGTGACGGACAGCAAGTGCTAATCTGTCCAGTGCCGCTTGGCACATTTGTGAGCTGTCACAGATTAGGGAAATATCATCAGCATACTATAAGTCAAGAAGTCGTTCTCCTGGGAGTAGCTTCACACCTTCTAAGTCGTGTCCTGTGAACGCGATTTCCATGACTTGGTCAAAAGAGAAGTTGAAGAGGAAAGGTGACAGCGGGCATCCTTGTCTCACGCCGCTGGAGATATTAAAGGGCGACGGCAACTTGCCGTAAGCCCTCACTCTGCCCGAGCTACGCGCATATAATGCTCGGATAATATTCACGTATTTCTCGGGCACACCTCTCCTGAGTAGACAGTCCCAAAGTGCATGTCTATCCACCGAATCGAATGCACCTTTGATATCGAGGAACACGACAATGGTGGGCCGCCAATGTATGTGACGGTGCTCCAACAACTGACGCAAGGTGAAGATGTGGTCAATGCAGCCACGACCTCGACGAAATCCTGCTTGCTCTTCACCAATCTGGCTTTCACGAGTGCGTCAGTCTGTGAAGGATGACAGAGGCAAGAAATTTGGAGGCGATGTAGATCAGACTCATTCCTCTATGGCTGCCGCATTCCGATCGCGAGCCTCCTTTAAAAATTGGGACTATGACGGAGCGGCTCCAGTCGGTTGGGACAGTTTCCTGCTCCAACAGTTTCACTAATAACTCGTGTAAATCATCCATAAGAGCAGGTCCCCCGAATTTAAAGAGGGCTGGAGGAAGGTCATCAGGTCCCGCGGCTTTATTTAACTGCAAAAGTTCGATCTCACGTCCGACTTCTGAGCGAGAGGGTGGATCCAAAGGGACAACCCAGAGAGTGGGGCGATCACTGGCCGGCGAGAAATCTAACCATTCCGACCGATTAAAGTGCCTTATAAAGTGCTCAGCCCAACGCTCCAAGCGTTTTGATAAGTTGTGGATAGGCTGTCCACTCTCGTCACGTATAGCTTCACTAACACCAGGTCTCCTGCTGCCCGTTTCCCATATGACCCGGAATAACTTACGATGGTTACCAAGGGCAGCGGCCATTTCCATCTCTGTTGCACGATTAGACCACCAGGATTCGCGGTCTCTCTTCAGGCTGGCACGAAGTTTTGCCCGGAGCTCTTTGCGAGTTTCATTGTGTTCGCTTCCAGCCGGAATATGCCAGCGAGCATCGATAAATTCCAGAGACTGTGAAGAGACCCAATGTCCATGTTGGCAATTAGATATACCACATGAGGATTTTCCTGCTGCTAGTAAGGTCTGGTGAATATGAGACCAGTGAGCTTCAATTGCATCCAGTGAGCGTTTATCCAACTCGCATGACAGCGTAATTTGATACGCATCCAGAACAGCTGGCTTCGCCAGTTGGCTGCTGTGAATGCGCTCACAACGTCGTCGTGGGCGTCCGCCAAAGCGGATCCGCAGGTCAGCTCACATAAGTGCATGGTCGGTGTCCACACCTGTGCTCCAAATCGAGCGACAGTTCTGGACGCAGCCTCTCCATCGGTAACTTATCGCAATGTGATCGATTTGCGTCCATAGCTGGTTCGAGGCTGGTGGGCGCCAAGTCACCCTCTGGCAGGTGCTGTGTCTGAAATTAGTGCTCGCAAGAAATAAGCGAGCATCCTCACACAAATGAAGTAACCGCTCACCGTTATCATTACGGGAGCCTATATCATGTTGGCCGCCCAGATGCAGCTCAGCAGTGGATAATTTTCTAACTTGAGCGTTCAGATCCCCAGCTAGCACTATAGTGTTCGAGCTTCTTCTGTGGTGAAGGAGCTCGTTCAGTTGACGATAGAAGTCGTCTTCTACCGAGTCATCGCTACCGATAGCGAATAGACACCTGTTAGTCCCACACGACTTCGAAGCTTTGAACGAGCCAGCCAATCGGACCGCACACATCCGGCTACTGATTGGAATCCAATCAACCAGATTAGCTTCAGCCCTGGGACTCAGGGCAATACCAACACCGGCTTGGCAGGTGCTCGAAGCTGCATCATCACCAGATAGGCGCAATGAGAAAGTGCTGCTAGTGTCACCTG